AAAAAAAAAAATTAGAAAGCCCAAAGATTAAAACTAAGACTTTAGAAGTAGCTAATACACTGAAGGGCAAAGTAGAATTGAATCAATGGAAGGCTTAGTCGGTGAGTTTATAGACAAATCTCTCAATACTCATCTTTGAGAGGAACATCAGGAAAAAATCCACATGTGGGACACTACGAAGAGGAATAATTTATGTGTGATTGGGATTCCAGAACAGGAAGAGACAAAACCATTGAGAAAAGTTGCTAGAAGAAAACTTTCTTAACATCATGAAAGATGACACGATAGCCATTCAAGAAGTTAAACGAGCTTCAAACAGGACAGACCCCAAAAGGAAGTCACCAAGACATATTATAATCAGACTTTTCAAACCCAAAGTCAAGGAAAAACTCCTGAGAGCAGCTCAGAAAAAAACCCAAAAAGATACCTAAAAAGGAGGTAAGATTAAGCTGTGATTTTCCAAAGAAACCATGCAGGCAAGAAGACAATGGGATGACATATGTAAACCTACGAAAGAAAAAAATCCCGCCAACCAAGAATCCTATACCTAGCAAAATTATCCAGCAAATATGACAGTGGAATCAGAACATTTCCAGCTAAACAAAAATTATAAGAATTTGAAAAAATCAGACCGATCTTACAAAGAATAATAAAGGGAGTTCTTTGGACAGAGAGTTAACAACAGCAAACAATAACCTGAGCCTAACACACATACATACCAGAACTCAACAAGACTAAAAAAATGAGACACCAGTTTGCAGTAAGGCATACAGTGAAAAAAAAAGGAATAATGTAACTGTAGAACTTTCAAATAAAGGGAAGATGAAGTAGATTTCAAGAAAAATAAAGTAAAAAAAAAAAGCCTAACCATAACCCTAAAATTAGGCCAAACTTTACTCCTAGCCCAACCCCTACCTCTAACACTAACCTTAGTCCTAACCCTAACATTAAATGAATCCTAGGCCTTGCCTAGACCTACCCATAGTCCTAACATTAACTCTGCACTCCTACCGACCCTGAGCCCCCAACTTTACCACCACCCAAAAAATCTTGCCTCAATCGCTCCTCTCATTTTAATCACACACTCAGGAAGAAATTCAGATTGGGATCAACCATTTCAACTTTGTTTCAGATTAAAATCAGACTTTGTCAGCTGTTTTCTCCTAAGCTAATAAGTTATTATTTAATAACTAACTAACTTGGGAACTTTATCTTAAAAAATTGGAAGTCATAAGTATTAGGAATTCCAAGCTCTGGTTTACTTCTGTTCAAAAAACACTACTTTTGTGTATTGTGTACTATGCTAGATGCTGGTAACACTAAATTGAACAAATACAGCACCTGCTCCTCTGGTGGAAGGAGACAGACATGAAAATGTTGCTGTCAGATACCGCTGAGTTGGTTCCGACTCATAGAGACGTTAGGCACAATGGTGCCTGGTCCTGTGCCATCCTTGCAACTGTTACTAAGCCTGAGCCTATTGTTGCTGCAACTGTGACAATTCATCTCGTTGGGGGTCTTTCTCTTTTTCATTGACCCTCCACTTTACCTATCATGATGTCCTTCTCCAGGGACAGGTCCCTCCTGATAATATATTTGAAGTATGAGAGATGAAATCTCACCATCCTGACTTCTAAGTGCATTCTGGCTGTATTTCTTCCAAAACAGATTAGTTTGTTCTTCTAGAAGTGCATGGTATATACATATTTTTTAAAAGTTTTCTAGTGAATTGAGTGATAGTTTACATGGGAGAACATCGATTTTACACTCATCCTATCATATTTCGTTTCATTGCAGTGATTTCCTCAATGCATCATTATTCAATAGTATTTGCTTCTATTCCCTGTTTGTTTTTGGTTGTACACAAAAATACTCAGGAATATATAATCATTTAAATAACCAAAGGGTACATTCTGCAAGCCTGCCTCCTGGTTGCCAGTACACAGCCTTTCTCTTGCCATGAGCTTCTTGTCCTCAGCTGCTCTCTCTCTCCAAGTGCATGGTACTTTTAATAGTCTTCTCCAATACCGTAACTCAGATGCATCAATTCTTCTATGGTCTTCCTTATTCATGGTCTAACTTTCACTTGCACATTAAACTATAGAAAATACTATGGCTTGGATCAGGTGCACTTTAGTCCTCAAACTGACATCTTTGTTCTGGAACATGTTTGGGGTCATGTGCACATGTACTTAATGCAAAAAGTCCTTTGACTGCTTAACTGCTGCTTCAATGAATTTTGACAGTGGATCCAAGAAAATGAAGTCTTTGACAACTTCAATCTTTTCTTCTCTAATCATGGTATTATTTATTGGTCCAGTAGTGAGGATTTTTGTTTTCTTTACACTGAGATGCAACCCATACTGAAGGCTGTGGTCTTTCATCTTCATTATCAAGCATTTTAAGTCTTCTGTTTCCAGCAAGCAAGGTTGTTATCATCTTCACATCACAGGTTGCTAATGAGTCTTCCTCCAATTCTGATGCCACATTCTTCTTCATATAATATGGTTTTTGTAAGTATGGTGAAAGAATTCAACCCTGGCACACATCTTTCCTAATTTTAAACCATTCAGTGTCTCCTTGTTCTATTAGAAAGACAGCCTTTTGGTCCATATACAGGTTCCTCTTGAGTACAATTAAGTGTTTCGGAATACTAAATTCTCTGCAATGTTGTCCATAGCTTATTATGATCCACACAGTCAAAAGCCTTTGCATAGTCAATAAGGCATAGGCCTGGTATTCTTTGCTTTCAGTCAAGAGTCATCTGACATTAGCAATGATATCCCATGTTCCATGTCCTCTTCTGAATCTGGCTTAAACCTCTGGCAGTTCCCTGTCAATGTACTGTTGTAGATGTTTTTGAATTATCTTTAGCAAAATTTTACTCACATGCGATATTGTGTGATGATTTCCACATTCTGTTGGTTACCTCATTGAAATGGACACAAACATGGATCTCTTTCAATCAACTGATTGGGTAAAGATTAGTGAGTGCCTCCAGTGCTATATCACTTTGTTGAAAGATTTTAATTTATGATTCCTAGAGCAGTTTCGAACTGCTGACCTTGAGGTTTGCAGCCTGATTCGTAACCATTATGCTACCAGAGCTCTTTATATCCATAGAATCCTTCAATATTACAGTGGAGGCTTGAATTTTTCTTTAGTTCTTTCAGCATGAGCAGTTCTGAGCGTGTTCTTCATGTTTGGTTTTCTAACTTCAGGTCTTTGCAATTTCATAACACTGGTTTCAGTCTTCTTGAGCTGCCCTTTGAAATTTTCTGTTCAGCTCTTTCACTTCCTCATTCTTCCATTTGCTCCAGAATTTCCAAACTGGAAAACAAGTTTCAGTCTTTTCGGATATCCACTTTGGTCTTTTCCTTTTTTCTTGTCTTTTTAATGACCTTTTGCTTTCTCCCTGTATGATGTCCTTGATGTCATCCCACAACTCTGGTCTTCGATCTTCAGTGTCTAATGCATCAAATCTGTTCTTGGGATCATCTCTAAATTCAGGTGGGATATATTCAAGCATGGACTTGTTTTAACTTTCTTCAGCTTCAGGCTGAACTTGTGTATGAGCAATAGATGGTCTGTTCCACTGTCTGTCCCTGGCCTTGTTCTGGATAAGGATAGGGAGCTTTTCTATGGATATAGCCAATTTAATTTCTGTGCATGCTATCTGGTGAGGTCCACATGTACGGTCTTCTTTTATGTTGTTTAAAAAGCGTATTAACAATTAACAAGTCATTGGTCTTACAAAATTCTATCTTTTCTATCATACCAAGGCCATATTTCTACCTACTGATCCTTCCTCATTTCCAATCTTTGCATTCCAGTCACCAATAGTGATCAATACATGTTGATTGCATGTTTGATCAATTTCAGGCTGAAGAAGTTGGTAGAATTATTCAATTTCATCATCACTGGCTTTAGTGGTTGGCGCATAAATTTGAGTAATAGTAGTATTAACAGTCTTTTCTTGTAGGCGTATGGTCATTATCCTATCATGGACAGCATTGTACTTCATGACAGATCTTGAAATATTCTTTTTGATAATGTATGTGACACCATTCCTCTCCATTTTATCATTCCTGGCATAGTAAGCCATGTGACTGAGAGATTTCAAATGGCCCATCCCAGTCCATTTCAGCACACTAATCCCTAGAATATCGATGTTTATGTATTCCATTTCATTTTTGGATGACTTCTAATTTTACTAGATTTGTATTTTGTACATTCCATGTTCTTATTAATGGATATTTACAGCTGTTTCTCTTTATTTTGAGTTATGCCCCATCAGTAACTGAAAAGTCCTCAAAGTTTTACTCCATTTGCATCATCAGAATCAACTCTACTTTGAGGAAGTAGTTCACATTTTGAGTACTTTCCAATCTGAGGGACTCATCCTCTAATACTATATCTGACAATATTCTGACGCTATTCATCATGTTTCAATATTCAATTATCTGGTGCTGAGAGTGTTAACACTGCTATTCATAAGGCTTCCAGTGGCTAAGCATTCAGTATTCAGTAGCAGTCGACCTCTCCTTCTTCCCACTTTTAGTCTGGAAACTCAGCTGAAACCTGTCCACCATGGATATATTCTGCTGGTATTTAAAATAAGGATGACAGCAACATGCAACATGCCACACTACAATAAACTGACAGACAAATGGTGGGACATATAAATAGGCAATTTTAATATATGAAATGACACAATCATCCTTTGGATAATAAATAGCAATAAAAGTGCTGAGAATGGTCTTGTTCCCAGTCTGAGAGCACACAGGAGTGTGTTAGGTAAAGCTTTCTGGAGAAAATAATACTTTAAAATGATAAGTGATAGACTGACAAAAGAAGGAAAGGAAGACAGCCAGGCAGACAATCAGGAGCAAATGCATGTAAGTGTAAAACCGTACACTGTGTTCAGGCAATAAGGTGGCACTATGCAGCATAGGAGAACTGGTGTGACACTATGGGATAAAGCGATGGACTACAAGGTTGAACAATCCTGGTGTGGCCCTGTAGGATAAAGCGCTGGAATCACAAAGCCGGTGGTTCAAACTCACTAGCACCTTTTGGAAACCATATACAGGGTCACTATGAGTTGGAACTGACTCAACAGAACTTATCATTGCACCTTAAGAGGTAGAATGATGGGAAGATGAGGCGGAACATGGGAACCTGTACTTTCTTCTGAAGTGAGTGATATAGCTGGGCGGAGAAGAGATATTAAGGAGGCAAAACTGGCAGCTGAAAGACCAGTTAGGAAGCTACAGCAAAAGACTAGGAAACACACTGGCAATAGCTGCCTTACATATGTGCTTGGGAGAATGGCTTTGAGTAGTTTTTTTTTTTTTTTTTAAACATGATAAAGTCTTTATTTTGAAATAATTTTAGATCTCAGAAAAGTTCAAGAATGTCTTGTCAAACTTTCCTACTCAAATTTCTATAGTTTTTTTTAATAGTCTTATCTGTCTTTTTCTGTCCCAGGATCCAACCCAAGACCCCACACTGCATGTAGCAATCATGTCTCCTTTGTTGTTGTTGATAAGTGCAGTCGATTCTGTTCCAA